CATAAACACACAACATAAAACTTTTTAAAAAAAAATTAGATCAGATAATTAATGCACAGGCAAAAACAGGCAAAAGTAGTGGACATACAAGAGTAAATAATTCTATTTACAAAAGTCACATACAAGTGTATATTACCAATAATAAAATCGGCTCGTGCCTTTGAAAATAATACACATGTAATAATAAAGTATTTGTATATATAAAGCAGGATACAAAATATGCACATTACAGCTTGCAGTTTGGACAATTTGATATAAGTATTATACATTGTTACTTTTTAATACTTTAAATTGATGATTCGACAACTGAATACCTTAATAATTCACAATTTCTATAACTGAATCATTTAACAATGTATTAATGTGGAAACAAAATTAACACAGATTAAGTAAAGGACCCTTTTCCACGCCTTTAGGCTATAGGGCATATAGGGCTAGACCTATTTTTATAGACCAATCGGCACAAGATGTGTGATGAGGTCAGCATCACGCCAGCCGACTTTACTTCCCAGGACTGCACCCGGTACCCACTCAAAGCTGGGTCGACCTGGGAATCAAGGTCATTGTTGTAAAAAGTCCGCTCCGCCACGGCGACTCCCCGGAATAGTGTAATAACTTGATAAATATTCGGTAATTGGTACTTTGCTAATTTGATACTTTAATAATTTACTAAACTGATAATTTAATGAGTTCATTCTGTGATAACTGAATAACTTGATAACCAAACATGTGTCATCATCATCATGTGCCCTGCCAATTAGCGTAGGCATCACGATCCCTGGTTGACTGGAACAGCTCTCTTGATGATATCCCTCCATGCCATCGTTTCATCCCATCAAATTCTTTGGTATAATCTATAAAGCACAAATGTAAGTCCTTTTGTAAGTCCATTGATCTTTCTATCAGTGTTCGTAATATATATATATATATATATTCATAACATGTGTGGCAGCGACTAATCTCACAAACATTGTTCCTAACCTTACAGAGAGTCCGAGACAAGTCCACAGCACAAGTGTTCATCATTAGTCTGGCGATCATTGACCTCTTCACCTGCATGGTTATCATCCCATTGACGATATTCGTGGAGTACTCCAACGCCGACATCAAGTACGACTTTCTCTGCAAGCTCTACCACTTTCTGCTAACCTCCAAGATACCCATGTCAGCCTTCATCATGGTGGCTATCGCCTTCGATCGCTACTTCTGCATCTGCCATCCCTTGAAGAGAATCATCACCGTCAACCGGGCCAAGATCATCGTCGTCTGCCTCGGCCTGCTTGCGTGCGTCTTTGGGATCATCACTTCTTTATTTTACGGGGTTTATCAAATTGTCTGGCGGTACGACTGGAAGAAAATTGATGAAATAGCGGGGACTAATTTTACCAAAGTTATCGCCGACATCCATTCGCAACCTTCCCGATTGGCGGCGTATACCAACATGCACGAAAACGTGGGCTCCTTCTTACAGTCAAACCATTTTATTTTCAACGGGACGGGTCATAACGGGGTTCCTGTTGTTACAGAAATTGTGTATATGGGTATATGCACCCCGCCAGGAATCAACTTCGGCGTCCCTCTGTTTCACGCTTATCAGCGTACCTACATGACCGTGTACCCGATCTGTCTGATTGCCATTATGATCCTCTACTTCATGATCTACCGGTTTATGTGCTTGAGAAGGTCCAAAAAGCTGCAACAGAAGCTGACTATGTGCTCCTATGTGAATGGAGACGGCACCTATGAGAATACCCGCCTGGTCAGTGCTGGAAATGACGAATCCCGTCGCGACAGTAAAAATAAAACCACGCCTAATATTGAAACTCCTGGACTCTTTCCGACATCCATGTCTAACAGCAATGGCTTTACTTCCGCAACTAGTCTCCGCAACTCCCCGGAAGAGGGTAATGGAACACTCAGCTCACAAGAGAAGAAAAGTTATAATTTTCTGAATGAAGGAACTGGGGGAGATAATATTTCTTGCAGTGCAACAATTTCCACGAGTATTCTGACGCCACTGGACAACGACGACAACGTACCGATTCTTAGCTTCAGCAACAGCTGCAGCAGCAACTTGAGACGAGCCGCCTCGGACCGCGCCCAGTTGGTGTCTGGTAGGCGCCACAGCCGACTTCCTGATCAGAAGTACCACTGGCACAAGAACAGAGACTCAATGAAACGCTACAAGGGAAAATCCAAAAGGCGGAAGTCGCAGTACAGCTGCGATGCTGACCGCCTGAGGGAAGAGAACCGGGCAGCTAATGTCCGGACGGCGTTGATGCTGTTTACTGTGACCCTTGTTTTTATGATCGCCTTTGTGCCTGCATGGATCATGGCGCATCGCCTCATTCCCTATATCGCACCTGTATATAATTTGTACTTTTTGTACAACGTTGCGAACCCTTTCATCTACGCCTTTATGAACAACACCTTTAAAAACTACATGTACAAAGTGATAACCTGTCGAAGACTGACCATCTCCAATAGGAGAGAATCTTGACTCTCTTATTCCCAACAAGAATTCCCAACTCTGGCATTTTTACTGGCCACTTCCGTTGCTTATTTGGCATTTTTTGAAAGCCATGTATTTGTGGCTTATCACTTTTTTTTTTTTCTTTAACCCAACTGCTATAAACGAAGAAGTGAAACTGCTTCTGAATGTTTTCAAATGTGACCCTAGCGCCATGCTACACAAGAGTGGAGAGAGTTAACACTAAAAGGTACTTATAACTTCAGAAGGCGATCCTAACAGTTTTTGACACTGTCCATCAAGAACTACAGCCGGCATGATGTTGAATTCATACACCAGCCACCGACAGCCGAACGATCTACACAAATATTATGGGCCAAGATAACAATTTCCAAATGGGCATACAACGTAACTGCCTCCCTTTGAGACCAAACGCACAAGAAGCCTGAGCAGTCCCCATACACAAAGAAAGTTAAAAGGCTCTATAACTGCCCCACACCAGCCCTTCCAACTGCCCCATACACGCCAACCTGTCTCTCCCAAGCTGAGTGACATGCTTAACATGAGAACATCCGATCAACGTTGAAAGACACTGACGGGAATTTAGAAAGTTCTTCGTGATCGGTCATGCTTCCTTTCCATGCGGTTACTGTTTAATCCGCTGTTGCTGTCTAAAGCGGGTGGGGTAATAAGGATTGTGAACTGTCCCTAAACACCCGACAGTCTCTGGCTGACAGAGGACTGGAATGGAACAAAGGCAGCAACCTTTACATCCCAAGGTAGTAGCGGATCGACAAAGTGAACTGTTCCTGGCACTGCCCCGCAAGATCTATAATGACATAATCCACACGAGGAAAATTGGATAACATGGAAAGATACCATGAACTAACTTGTACAATGTATTTAAGTGTCCTTAATATTGCCTGGATTCTACTTCTTGTTCTGCGATGTTTGTTTGTTCTGCATCGATTCCATCAGGTGTTACAAACAAGGACTTCACGAGTGTTCTGTTGTTTGTCTTGTGAAGCTGCTCCAGCAGGTCGTATATCATTTCTCTAACAGGTAACGTCAGGGCAATGTTTTAAGACTTGCTGTTTTAGTTCAGCAAGAAGCGCGCGTTTATGCTCCAAGACAAAGGAGAAGGAGGAGGAGAGGAAGAAGAAAAAGACACAGAAGAAAAAGACGAGGATGAAGAAGAAGAAGAAGAAGAAGAAGAAGAAGAAGAAGAAGAAGAAGAAGAAGAAGAAGAAGAAGAAGAAGAAGAAGAAGAAGAAGAAGAAGAAGAAGAAGAAGAAGAAGAAGAAGAAGAAGAAGAAAAAGAAAAAGAAGAAGAATGACTTCCCATGCTTAGCTATGAACGAGGCACCTGTTTCTACCGCACACTAGTGACTTTTTTTCAACTTCTCTCAAAGCCAGCCACGACGATAACATTCACCACTCACAAATAATTCAACTAAACCAGCTGAAGACACGTAATCTTGGATTATATAACCCTGAACCAAGTTTGTTAAAGTAAATGGCCGAGCTTTATTACATCCACGGGAAGTAATCCTCCCAAACTTTTTATATTCCCTTCTGGTGTTATTGATTCATGTAATTATGTCCCTTGAAAACATGATTTTTTTCTTTTCATGACTAAATACTGTGAAACATTTTCACTATGTGATGTATGAAGACTCATAACATACATTTGGTGTAAACTATTGTTCTAGTGTTTTTTAATGATTTTGTGCCTATTTAAGTGTGCTTTCATTGTGAATGGAGGTCAATTGCTTCAATCTTTTCAATTATACACATGGAAGTGAGTCAACCGGTGTTGCATTTTTTACTTGTATCCTTCAACTCATCTATCCATCTATCCATCCCTCCATAATCCTTCCTTCCATCAAACTATCAAGCTACACATTGTTCTTCTATTTATCTAGTCGTCCATGCATTCATCCTTCTTATCGTCCATTCTTCCACACTTCCATAACCAAGGACACAAACTCACTCACCATCCACACAGCCTATTCACCCCACTCCCCCATTCACTTGAACACACATCCTTCCTTCCATCCATCCATCCATCCATCCATTCATCCATTCATCCATCCATCCATCCATCCATCCAACCATCAGTACGTTCATTCACACATCCATCTGCAGAATGTTCCAGAACAGATAGAGTATCCATGGATGGGAAGACTGAGTCTGGGTGAGAGAAGTGAGCAGAGGTTCAGGGTGATATTCAATGGTGAGAGGGGGAAGACTGATTCTGGGGAAAGAAGTGAGCAGAGGTTCCGGATGATATTCAAAGTTGAGAGGGGGAAGAATGATTCTGGGGGAAGTGAGCAGAGGTTCCGGATGATATTCAAAGTTGAGAGGGGGAAGAATGATTCTGGAGGAAGAAGTGAGCAGAGGTTCCGGATGATATTCACAGAGGAAAGCATAGGCCGACTTTTACTCAGATTGGAACTGGCACTATTAACATGGAGACTCTTCACTGACTACGGGGGAGGGGGGGAGGAGGAGGAGATGGAGCCCGCGTGGGAATGACCCAAGTGCATTCATGTCAATTCTTTATTCATTCATCTGCAGAAACACCCACCCATTTATTGACAATTTCTTCATTCAGCTGATCATTCATCCATCCATCCATATATTCATCCATATGCTCATCCATGTGCCTATACACTCACTTATTTGATCATCCAACCATTAATCCACATAACGATCTGTTCATCCATATGTCTATACATATATCCATACACCAATTTACCTACTAGTCCCATCTTTTTAGAGACGAGTCTGCATCAATCAAGAGACAACAGATTAAATGGTTCGGACATGTGTTAAAACTACCACCAGATAGTGCACACGGAGACCCTGTTACGCAGATCTGCCTAAGATCTGCCTATAATGTCTTCACTATGCAGAGCCAATATAACATCATATATAACAACAAATCTCATGATTCCTGTTGCAAATCGTCTTGTCCCTGTCCGAAAGTCCAGGGAAAGATCGAGGCCTGGCGTCATGAACTATGTCGGCCCACCTACTGAGATTGTATAGAAAGTAATGGGCCGACACAATCGTCGACGAGTGATCTTTCTACGGATGATCGGTGGATCCCTGCTGTTCATGCTCCCCTGTGGAGTTCTTGTTATATATAGAAGGAGATTCTCGCCATAAAACAATGCGCCAATTTCATCCAGGGACCGAGTTATATTCACACGCATTTACGTAAAGACGTATGAATGGAACCAACGATGCCAGCATCAAGAGCATACAACATGAAAATCGAAACACCAAGAGGCAGGGGAAGACCAAGAAAAAGATGGATTGAAGGAGTCACGGACAACTTGAGACTTCATAACATCACGGCATATGAAGCGACTGAGCGCGCCCTGGCTCGGTTGCCGATCATCTGATAGACTGCGACGCCTAGCGGCACAAGCAGATTTTGACAAAAGAAGAAAGGATGAGACGCGTCTGCTTTTTTGCCATATAAACAGCTACGCACTTAGACCTATTAGTAGGCACGCAGAAAGCTTCACACTTAGATAGCTAAACATATTTAAGAACGAACAAACGAACTTTATTTTGTATACGTAAACAGCTACACAGACACATACGTAGGCAGAGGCCTAGGCATAACAGCAATTAGGCACACAGACATATAGGGAGCGGCGTGGTATAGTGGCTAGACTATCTCCTGTTGATCATAAGGTTGTTTGTTCAAATCCCAACGCAGTTGGATTTTTTTTTTTACATTGGATCTCAGGTCGACCTAGCCTTAAATGGATGCCAGATCAAGTCCTGAGAAGTAAAGGGGACCGGTGTGATGCTGACCACATCACCCACCGAGTGCCGTCGATTTGGAAAAGAGTACTTTACTTTACACGGACATGTACGTAGGCAGGCTCACAAACAGATAAGTAAGCAAGCATACAGATATAAGTAGACAATCATAAAGACACATAAGTAGGCACACACATAAAGATGTACACAGGCGGGTACATAAACATAAGTTCTCAGGTGGAAAGACATATAAGTAGGCAGGTACACAGACACAAATCTTTAAAAAAAAGTACTGAATGGTACAAAGGAACACATTAACGAATCAAGGATACAGAAAAGGGCGACTGAAGAAGGTTGGTAGTGTTAATGACCACCTAATCTTGTAGATAATTTTAGCCACAACACTGAAGCCACCATACATAAATCTACAACCTGGGTAGGATATGTTGGTCCAAGGCATATGGTTTACTGAGCTATGGAATCAGGAGGAAAGACAAGAAAAAGATCTGAGGAAAGAATAGGTGGGAAAGGAAGCAGAAGTAGCAGCAACAGAAGGAGGAGGAGTAGAAAAAAAATAATCAACAGCAGCAGCCTAGGAAGAAGAAGAAGAAGAAGAAGAAGAAGAAGAAGAAGAAGAAGAAGAAGAAGAAGAAGAAGAAGAAGAAGAAGAAGAAGAAGAAGAAGAAGAAGAAGAAGAAGATGATGATGATGATAATGATGATAATGATGATGATGATGATGATGATGGGAAAGAATGAGGAGGAGGACATGCAGACTGGCTGACTTATTCCACATGACTGTAAAAAACCTACTGCAGGCTCTTTCAAATGGCACTGTTTGTTCAATTTCCATTTTCCAAACTCTCATTATTCAGAATCAGCTGCATCTGCCGCAACAAAATATTGATCGCACTGCTTCTCGGTACGCAATGTCATGTTTTGTAAATACCACTTCTGTGGTTCAAGTTGGCGAATTTCCACTTTTTTGTAAATAAAGCGGCTTCTCGATTGGAAAGGTCCACTTTTTATACACATACGGACTGAAATCTGCTAATTGCATTTTACTGCTGTCGGGGTTTTCTCCTCTCTAACGTATTTTCTTCTTTACACTGTTTATTGTCAACGGCAAGAGTTTTTCCAGTGGAATGCCTTTCATTGGCGCAGCGGTTGTGTCATGATATTCAATATGGCCGGTAACCAGTTTACTTGTGAGAAATACCTTACCTAATAATTCTACGTGCTCTGCTA